CCCCAAAACCCCAAAACCCCAAAACCCCTCAAGAGTTAAATTTAATAAAATAAGATAAAGAATAATATTAAAAATATGCCATCATAAGAGTCGACAACTTAAATTGAGCAATTTCTCATTCTAGCCAAAGGATAGAAGTCTAAGGCACTTGAGACCATAATAGATTAGATTTTATCGCATGGTTTAATCTATGTATTTGGAGAGTTCCTATCTCAACCTAACTTTATGGATGTAATAATTGCTCTCAATATCATCTTTGATTCTAATGGTTAATTTAGATTGGAGCTGACAATAAGTTCTTTAGAACATTGGAACTGTTTGCTTATGATAACTATCTTGTTTACAAGAACAGCAAGGATGCTTTCATCGATTTGAAACCTCAGCAAGTGAAAAAGCTTAAAATGATTAGTATTGCTGATAGAGCCACTAGGGACAAGATACTCAATTATAGTTAATTAATGAATGATCTCGATATCTAAAATCTAAGAGAACTTGAAGATTTGATCATAGACTGTATCTATAACGAACTTCTAACAGGAAAACTTGATTAACTCAATAAATAATTCCATGTTGTTGATACCTATGGCAGAGATGTTAGAGAAGCAGATGTTAGTGATATGATTAAAAAGCTGGAAGATTGGGATGATTAACTAGAAAAATCTTAAGTTTTTATAGAAAAAAATATGAGAGATTGCAATTCAAGCATTATGATATCATATGAATAGCAACTAATACATGAATAAGAAATCAGAGACAAAAGAGATTAGTTACTGAGAGATATTATGGCCGGAAAAGAATAGGAATATGGAGGAAGTGGGCCACTACTCACACTTGGAAAGAAATCTAGTTCAAAAAAAGATGATAGAGGCAAAGGTATTGGTGGTTTCTTGTCAGGACTCAAATAAGGTTTTCTTAATAATTGATTGATTATTTGCAATTTAACTTAACTTTTATAAAATAAATCAATAAGTTGACATTTTAACATTAAAAGTATTATTAAAGTTTTAAAATTATAAATATTGAAATGAAAAAAGCAAAGTATTAGCCTCATTAACCGAAAAATTAGTTAAGTAATGATCCTTAATCTCACTAGTAAAATTCGAATTAATATGAATAAAGAGACAAATATGATCAGCATCAACATAAAAACTCAAATCATAAATTCGATTCTTAATAATAGAAATAATAGAACGACTACCGTTTGCACAGCAGAGATAATCGTCTCTCAAATACAACAAAAGATGATGATCATCAAGAAGGAGATGATGAGGAAGAAGAGGAACTTGATATGGATATAGTAAACAATGAGGATTTGGAGTAAAAGATCAATTAGATGAGGGAAAAAATTAGAAGATAGCAGTTAGAGTAAGAAGGCAGCGAAGGTGAAAATGATTATGATCAGGAAGATTAAGAGTAGCAGGAAGATTATGGTTAGGAGGATAATGACAATTTAGAACATGAGGAAGAGTAATACCAGAGTTAGGTTTACAATAATTAAAACCATTAGTACGAGGAAGGCGATGAAGAAGACTTGCGAAATCAAGTGTATGATTAAGAGAGTTTCAGCTTGCAATAGAGAGATCCTAATGAATCAGATGATGAAGGCAATGAAATTGTCATTAACTAGAAAACAGAAAATAACAGCAAAAAATTTAAAAATCAGGATATAAATGCCAAAATAGAGAAAATGAAATTGAAAATTGAGTAATTCAAAAATAAAAGCTAAACTCATCTTAAACAACGAGATAAAGATCACTAATCTGAGAGCTTTGCTTAGGAGATTGAGGATAGTTCTGTAATCCACAAATAAAAAGTAAAAATCAAGAATAATCACAGGAAGGACAAAAGTAGACATTTACAAAATTAGGATTAATCAGATGACGATTAATAATCTCAATCAAACAGAAAGATTAAGCAGAAAAAAAATAATGAAATAGTTTCTAAACGAATAAGATAGTCAGGCAAAGATGAATCAAAATGAAATACTTAGATTAACAGAAGAAATAGAAATTAAAGTGATGAGGAAGAGGAGAACGACAGAAAAAACTCAAGAGACTACGATTCTTCTTCAAATGAATCATTTGACCATGACAATGATGATAATTTTAATGATACTTCACAGATAACTGATGATGATGGTGTATCTCGTTACACAGCTAAGTCTAAGAAGTCTAGGAGAGGTAAAAGAAAAAACGCTGACAAAAGTCCTGATAACACAACCAATATATTTGATCCAAATATATTTCCATTAGGCATGATGACTCCAGGAGGTATGATTCCTGATCCAGCAACTTGGACTGCAGCGAATCCGTTAGGAATGAATTAAATGTTTACACCTGGAATACAACCAAATATTATGAATCCTCTTCTTGGGTAAAACCCATAAATGATGCCAATACCTCCACCAGGCTTAAATCCATTAGAACTCGCAGCTTTCTACCAATAACAATAAATGCTTTAGCAATAGTAAGCTCAGCAAACATTTGGGCCAAATATTCTACCAAACTTTATGATGCAATAACAATCCCCTCATCTGATGAATTAGTAGAACATGATGTTTAACCCATAATTACAAATTCAACACTAATAAAGATAACTTTAAGAAAATCAATAACTGTAGGCTTAACTGTAATAACAAAATTCAGATATACAAGTGCTAAATCAAAAGTTATTTGACAAAGACAAAGAACTGCAATAGTTGTAAATGCTTTTATAAGATTAGAAGATTCAATATGAATAGGAGATAAAAATGATTTCAAGAGAATCTAATTACAAGTATGATGATTTCAATAGGCTTATGAATGAGAATCAGTTTTTGGTGGATAAATATGAAAAGGTATAGGTTAAATTCTAAGCGTTGAAATCTGAATTAGAATAACAAAAAGAATTTTATGAAAAGGCACTCGAATAGAGATTCAATTAAATGGAAGAGTTTGAAGAGGAATGCATGAGATTGAGATAAACAGTTGAGGAACTTGAGAATAATTAAAATGATAACAGGATTAAATGCGAGATGGCTGTGAAAGATAAGGAGACCCTTAAGAAATAGCTGTAAATAAAAGACAAGGAGACATTTGAGGTCAGTAGAAAAGAGGAGGATTTATTAGCTAAACTTGATGAACTGCAATAGTAATTAAAAGAAAAAGATATTATTACTGAAAAAAAAGTAGAAGAAAGCTTTAATTTAAAGTCTAAGATTGATCAACAGAGGCAGGAACTTGATAAAATGAGGAAGAGGATGGAAAATATTGAAGATCAATTAACTCATAAAGAATTATAATTCAAGCAAGTGAACGAAGATTTTATTGAGTACAAGAAAAAACAGAGGTATGATCAAGGCAAAATTTAAGGAGGATCAGATGACATAAAAGGTGAATTAATGGTAGAAAGACAATAAAATAACAACCTTAGAGCATAAATAGATCATCTATAGGAGGAGTTATATGATGCCAGAGAGTAATTACAAGAAGTAGAACAGTTGAGAAGGGAAAGAGATCAACTTAAGAGAGAGCTATAATAGCCAAATAATAAGAATTAGAGACAAAGTGCTAATAATGAAAATATATACAATTCTGGTGGATTGAACTCTAATAGGAATTAAAAACAGCAAATTTAGAGAGATAGAGATGATTTTGAGGAAAACAATGCCGTATAATGGAATGGCCCACCATCCAAGAAAGAAGCTCCAAATAGATAAGCTAGACCTTAGTAAAATAACTTTATTGAAGAGCAGCCAAAGACTTAAAACAGATACAATTTGCCAGAATCCTTTTTCAGAGATAATGATTTTACAGAGGATTAAATCTTAGATTCTGCTCTAAGTAAGCGTCCGTTAGTGAATGATAGATCAAATAATATATCTGCAAGATAACAACTAGTGAATCCTAGAAATTAAGGATATGTTCCACCCGGAATTTAGACTAAGCAAGATAAGGAAAGAGAATAGAAAATGGAATAAGTTAAAAACATAGAATAAAATTTGTTAAGTCTCCAGTTAGATTAGAAGAAACTTTAGGGTGAATTTGATAGAATCCCAGAGAGTGCAAAGACTATAGCGTAAAGAAGGAGAAAGGAAGAGTTAGATAGAGAAATTAAGATTGTAAACAAGAATATTAGCAATCTCAAAAACAAACTCAGAGAGCTTGACGCCCTTCATAGATGAAGTAAATGATAGTCTTAAAATAAAGATCTTGTCTTTAAATGTTAATTTTAGTCTTAAAAAATATTTTGTGTTTTAATGTGTCTTAGGAATTATATAATTTTAATCGATCATTTTATTCAAATCTTTGCTTTCTTTGGTCTTTGAGATTCTTGAATTTGATTGTTTAATAGGGTTTGCCTTATAGAAAAAGGCTAAAACCTAATTCCATTTCCCTTATAAAATTTGTTTTAAAACTCAACCCAATGCAACCTTAAGGTATGCAAGAATGCTTCCATTAAATCCATCATCATCAAAACTGAAATTGTAAAAGCAAAGTACACAAAATATCCTAGGAACAACTAAAACTATTAATAGAAAATGAGTTACAGCAACAAATGAGTTAGATTAAAGTCCTGATTTAATTGTGTTGTCAAAGAATACCTTGGCAAGCTAAGAATGTGCTAAAGATAAAGCCCAAAGCCTGAGGTAGCTAGCAGTATTTGAAATAGTTCCCAATACGAATTCAATTGTTTCTATTAATTAATGGATGAACAAATCACTGAAGCTGTGTTATTTATGCTTTTCAATAGATCCAATATCTATCGATTTCTGATTCAACGTTTTTCCTCTTCCCTCATGACTTATAGGTTCATCATTAATAGCAGTATAATGTTTTTCGCCCTCTTCTTCATGAATTTGTCTAATGTGACTTTGGTATCTTTTTTAATTGATATTGTTTTCATATAATGGCTTCACAAATAGCATTAATGGTACACATATAAGACTTATAAAGAGCAGTATTCTCATTATTATTGTTTAATTATTGAAAAGTTCTGATTCTCTTTGAGGACCCTCATTTTATGATCCAAAATTCAGACACATTACTATCATTTGAGTTATGACTGAGGGTGGCCTTGCTCCCTATATTTCATCATAATTAGTCAGCCATTTAGTAATAATCATTAGGTCCATAAAGCCAAAAAGAGACCACAGTAATATAATTTAGGGAAGAAATTCAAAAGTAAAGTCAATATATCTTTTGAATTTAAGGGAGTTAAATGCCTTCATAAACACTCCAAGCGACATTTAAGATACTCCTAAGATGACCGAAATTTTCATTTTTAAAGAATTTAAAAATGACAACTCGTTTTTAGCAAAATACCAAGTTGGATCTACACCTACTTAATAGATACAGTCTTACTTTATTTCTGATTAATGAGTCTTGTGATTGTTGTTATAACAAGACCTTCCAAATAAGTTTAAGGGAATAGAAGTGAAATCATTATAAATAAAACCACAGTATGAGGAAAAGAATCCCATGAGTAAAAGTAAGTATCTAATTTTATATAGTTCAGAAATCAAAGAACCTTCCTTTGGTTTGTAAAAGCAGAGATATGATGAAAAAACAAAAAGTAAAGTGCCATGAAGTACATCTCCAAACATAACGCCAAATAAGAATGGAAATGAAACCAAAGTAAAAATTGCTGGATTTACTTCTTAGTACTATGGTATTCCGTATGTATTGACAATCTCCTGGAAAGGCCATGTAAATTCATTTGTTTCAAAATATGTAGGCCTCTAAAATGTCTTCTCATCATAATCTTTGATAAGATGCATTTGAGGACCTTCTAAGTTTCTTTTATTTCTAATATCATCTAGTTTTTCATCAAGCGCTTATCTAAATTTAGTTGGACACCATAAGAGACCCATCAAAATTTTCTCACTAAACTTTAACTTATTAAGTTCTATGTAGATAGATTTCTCTTTCAGAATAAAGCACTTATAGATTTCAAGCAATGAGTATTCAGCTCCCTGCATTTTATTTATTTTTATCAAATAATCTTTGATTGACTTTTTAGTCTGTATAATATAGTTCATAGCATCTTCTCTTTGTTTTGATAAATTTATGAGTTGCTTTTTTGCCTCTTATTTATTGACTTCAAAACTAATGCATTATTATTGAAAAATAAATATTACACTGGTTCTTAGCTGCTTGAGCAAATTCTATAAATTTTGTCTCTGATGTATTGACCATCATCAAACATAATTAAATAGACAAACATTTTCTCTTATTCATTCTAAAAAATTGCTTTATCTGTATCGGATATCTTGAGTTCATAGAAATTTATTAATGCTTTACCTCTCGTTGCTCTAAAAATCAACTTTTTGAAGCTCATCTATTCAGATTTCTTCAAAACTCCGCCGAGGTATGCTATTCTTGATTATTCAGACATCAGTGGGCTTCTAAGTTCCTATCTCCCATAAGTAAGCATTGGATCTCGTTCAAAATCAGAATTAAGATTCAAACTGCTTTTGTCTGATTATTCAAATAACTGAGAAGCATATTAAAGTATGTTTATTTTAGCTACTATGGTTCTGAATAAAGTTATCATGTTATCAATAGCATAGACTTAGGATTTTAAGAAAGCAGATTTATCTTTCAAATCATTCTCGATGTCATTGAAGAGTAAATGAGCGGCCTTGTCCTGTCTGAGGGAATATAGATTTGCTTGTTAAAGAAACACATCAATATCTGCTGGAGTCTTCAAATCTACCTTGTATTAAGCACAAATATCCTCAATCTCTCTAATAACGAATTTATTTATAATAAAGTTACTTGATCATAGATTCAGATTCCTCGCATCTCTTTACTTGGTTAAAGTATCTCAAGTGATGGGGTTGCTCATTCTTATTTAGGTTTATGAAATGTAAGCAATTAATGTTTCCAAGTTCATTCATGATGTCCCAATCGTTGTCTTTTGGTATGAGTATTTCATACAAGTCCACATCTTAAGATCTAATTGAGAATTTTAGAAAAAGAAATATCCCTTAAATTATGAATGATACCTGAAAAGACTCATTTATATTGACAGTTAATTTTAATACAAGTAATTTAATTTAATTCAATTATTATAATTATTATCAACATCATATATTTTCTAAATTATCGTATTTAAGGGGTTTTGGGGTTTTGGGGTTTTGGGGTTTTGGGG